AATACCTTACCCAGAGTGGAGTAGAACATTTACAGTTTCAGTGTATGACTAGGCTGCCTTTGGCCAAACTTCCCAGAACAGCTTTCATAAAAATGGGGACTGTGACACTGCCACCCCACGTATTGCCGTGTTGGGAAAGCAGCGAGTCTCACACATAATTGCTGGCTTTGTGCACGATCATACGGGCTTTAAGGAAATGACCTTTCCCAGTGAAAAAGTCCATTCAGCCTTGTGGAGCGACTTGCATCCTAACTCACTGTTGCTTTGTCCCCAGTGGGCATTTGGCGTGACCATGTGGGAAATAGCGACCCGGGGAATGACGCCCTACCCCGGAGTCCAGAACCATGAGATGTATGACTATCTCCTCCACGGACACAGGCTGAAGCAGCCCGAGGACTGCCTGGATGAACTGTGAGTGAGCGTCTCCATGTCACCATGTGCTCTGTGTGGGGCAGCCATGTGGGTCTGCAAAGACCTGGGGAAACAGCCCTGGGGGAGGGTTACAATGTGCAGAGGGTAGGCACTTGCAAACACCCCAGGACAGGAGCCATTCCTGTGAGTGATGGCGTGTGACATTTCTAGTCAGCCCAATTGGCTTACTCACCCAAAAGGCTTCAGCCTCGATTGATGGGTGCTATCAAGACCACCTAAAACACGTCTTAAAATTTCTTAAGCACCATTGATGGTGTGTTAGGTACCTGAGTAACTCCTACCCTCTTCAGTCCAGTTAGCCTTTTCTCATGTACACCTTGTCAAACACACAGTCAGGAATCTCCTACCCTAGGACACTGAGAAATCTATGCCAGTGACTTTGGGAGTCATCAGACTTGCTTGGGGGACATTCTGACAATGTGGTGCCAAGAACTGCGATGGTTTTGATACAAAGGAGACCCAGGAAGGTGTGGGTTTTTTTTTTTTTTTTTAATATTTGTTTTCAGCATGTGCACTCACTGGAAAGAGACAGGGAGTAGGGAGTGGGAAAGGAGTGAGAAAACACCTACCAGAAAGGAAAGGCCACATTGCAATCCCTTCTTAACTCCATTCTCCACTCAGGATTTTGGGCATGCACACACATGTGCCAGGCGTGTTTTTCAATGCCAGGTCTGAGACTCAGACCACGCAATTAGCCATGTGGGATCCAGCCACTTTAACCACCACACCACCGGCTGGCCACCTTGAAAGATGTGGTTTAAAATTCCCTGGAAGCCCATGCGCTTAGCCAGGTATGGAGGCTCCACACCCTAGTGCATGCGGGACCACGGTGTGCACATGCTGTCCCAACAGGCCCCTCTTTGTACATAAGCCAGGCAGTTGGGGAAAAGGTCCAGACCTTGGGGTCAGGCAAGCCAGGCTCTGCCTCTTAGCTAGCCACAGGTGTAGTAGTGACACCTGACCTAACCTCTCTGTACCTCCTGTTATCACCCACAAACAACGCGTAGCCATGTGTTCTTCAAAGGTGTCGCAAAGGTTAAACAAAGAGGGTATCCACAAAGCTCAGCCCATAAGAGGCATGCAAAACAGGTGTGCACATGATGGTGTCAATGATTTATTTTTTTTAAGAATTATTTTATTTAACTTTATTTATTTGTTTGTTTGTTTATTTTTATTTGACCAGAGAGGGACAGAGAGAGAGGGAAAGTGAGAAAGCAGGCCGCCAGGGTCAGGACTTGAACCGCAGTCAGCCTTGTGGGAGTCCAGCGCCCTTAACCACCATACCACCTGCTGGCCCCAGATGGCGCCAATTATTAACAACATCATTACAAATTGATCTCCCCCAAGCACCTTGTTGACCTTTTCAAAATAATCTTGTGTAGCTTGGTTATTTGAACCTAACGGTGCGTCTCCTCCCTGTGTAATAAGGGCCATGGGAGAGGGACATTCTCACCGTAGTTAGCAATTCCAGGACGGCCTGCCAGAGTACTAGTTCAGGTGAGCAGGTGCAGAGACTCCTCCCCCACCACACACACACACACACACACACACACACACACACACACTCTGGCCCCGCTGCTTCACATGGGAGAGAGCGTCCAGGTCATTCTCACACAAGCCTCCCAGGTCTCCCCTCGGCCAAACAGAGGGAAACTGTTGATCAGAGCCTCACCCAGCTCGGTGGTGGTGGTGGTTGGTATTGTGGTTGTAGATGTAGAACATTAAGAACAGAAACAAACACTGTCAGTCCTTGAAAGGCATCGTGACATCCTAATTAGATTAGCTCTAGGGTTTTACGGTGTTTTTTAAAGGAGCAATTCCAGGACGGCCTGCCAGAGTACTAGTTCAGGTGAGCAGGTGCAGAGACTCCTCCCCCACCACACACACACACACACACACACACACACACACACTCTGGCCCCGCTGCTTCACATGGGAGAGAGCGTCCAGGTCATTCTCACACAAGCCTCCCAGGTCTCCCCTCGGCCAAACAGAGGGAAACTGTTGATCAGAGCCTCACCCAGCTCGGTGGTGGTGGTGGTTGGTATTGTGGTTGTAGATGTAGAACATTAAGAACAGAAACAAACACTGTCAGTCCTTGAAAGGCATCGTGACATCCTAATTAGATTAGCTCTAGGGTTTTACGGTGTTTTTTAAAGGGGTCATGTTAGTGCTATGTTAACTTCTGAAAACAAGGAAGCATTTCATTCAAACAGTATTGACAAGAGCAGTACTGACGGCTGCAGTTTTCTTAGCCTTCCCTGTGTGCCACGAGAAGTTGGTGTCTACAGTGGTTATGCTGGGTCTTAGCAAGGTCTAAGCTGTGTCACATTGTGGTTTTCATGTTTCACAGTGAGCCCGAACAAGGGAATGCTGAGTTGGGTTTCTCTGAGGTTATTTCGGGGGCAGAGTTGTAGAGTCAGCACACACGGTGGCTGGGGAGTCAGGCGGAAGCAGACAGACCTGCGGTCCCCATGTTCCTGCTGGCTCCCTGGCCGGGGGAGCGGAGGCAGCTGTGGCCAGCCGCTGGTGGGCCAGGCCACCTTCTCCATCTCTTGCTGCTGGAGGTGGCAAGCATCAGCATCCCCATGCAGGCCTCCGTGCGTCCATTCTGGGGCAGCTGTTTTTTAAAATAATGAAAACAGTAGTCTCCCCGTATCACAGGTTTTGCTTTCTACAGTTTCAGTTACCCATGGTCAATTGGGGGGGGGGGAATATTAAATGGAAAATTCCAGAAATAAATCATTTATAAGCACGTCATTCCGAAGAGTGTGAGGAAATCTCACGCCTCCTCCCGTGATAGTCCCATGTCCTGCCTGAATTACCCTTTGTCCAGTGGACCCATGAGTCATGTAGTAGCCATCTCAGTTTAAAGAAGCAGACCGGTAGGGGTCAGTGCTATCTGCAGTTTCAGGCGTCCACTGGGTTCTTGGAACCCTGTAGGTAAGGGCAGCTACTCCGATTCCAAGCTTTTCATCTAGGCTTGCCATCAGAAAGAGTTGAAATGAATTCACTTGTTTTTAAAAAGTCAGCTCTTGAGACCTGCAGATGGCATAATGGTTACATTGCTGGACTCCCATGTATTGGACTGCAGTTTGAAACTCATGCTGGGCACATGTGCACGCATGCCCAAAATCCTGAGAGGAGACTGGAGAAGAGAATGTGTCATGGCCCTCGCCCGTGGGGGTAATTTGTCACTCTCTGTCTCTCTATCTCTTTGGCAAGTGCACACGCCCTATAGCAAAAATCTCTCTTAAAAAAAAATGAAATAAAAAAAATAAAGTCAACTCTTGCGGCCGGTAGGTGGCATGGTAGTTAAAGGTGCTGGACTCCCACGTGGCCAACTGCAGTTCGAGTCCAAGACCTGGTCACTTGCTTTCTCATTTTTCCTCCCTCTCCCTCTTTCTATGTCTCTCTCTGGTGAGCACACATGCCCTATAGCAAAGTTTTTAAAAATAATAATAATAAATAAAATTAAATAATTCTTTTTTTAAGAATTATGTATTTAATTTTATTTATTCATTCATTTATTTTAATTTGACCAGAGACACACACAGAAAGAGGGAGAATGAAAGCCACCAGGTCCAAGATTCAAACCATGGTCAGCCATGTGGTAGTGTCCAGCGCCCTAACCACCACGCCACCTGCTGGTCCCCAAAATTGAATAATTCTTAAGAAAAACAGAAGAGTCAACCTTGAGAGCTATGACGGTGTAGATCAGAGTGCCCTCATGCCTTTCGGTCCTCCCGCCCTGAGAGCAGCCTCTCCCCTCGGTGTCAGCTCCTGCTCTGAATGGCCAGGCTGAGGCCCTGCTCCCACCACCCAGAGCCGCTGTCTGTGATGCACCTGTCCACTTGTACGGGGCATTTCCCAGCGGAGCTCATCGTGGTCCTCCTCAGGACACTCCTCATCAGTGGCCACCATGGCTCCCGGCACTCGTCTCCCTCACCCTCCAGGGCGACACTTAGGAACCACCTTGTTCTTTGTCCCACTGGATCCCACTGGCCAGAGCCACTGTCTTTCGGGATCCCCCTCCATTGCACTGCCATTGCTATTACCATCAAACCACAGAATCCCAGGGCTTGATGGTCCTCGGGTCATCTGCTCACCAGAGAGAGAGCAAGCTGGCAAGTCCAGGACTTAAACCACAGCCGGCCATGTGGGAGTCCAGCGCCTTAACCACCACTCCACCTGCTGGCCCAAGGAGACATTCTCTTACCTACCTAAAGACTGATTCACCAAAGAGGAACACAATTGCTTTTGATGTGCTTACTGAAATTTTGTTAACCACAGAAGAAAACAATGACCTTTGGCCCCTTCCCTGAATTTTCATTAACTAAACTCATATTACAGGGTGGAAGATTGAGAAATGTCACCACCCCTGGACAGATTTTATTCTGAACTGCTCTCTGTCCTGCAGGCCCACTCAGTTCCCAAAGAGAATCATTTACTAAGCCTTGTCTGAGCACAGGGCCCACTCATTTCCCTACGGCCATGTAACACTATCCCTCTAAAACTGTTATAGGACCCCAGGTTCTCTCCCCACTGGGAAGAGGGTATTTATGTCTTAGCCATCTGGCCCCTATTTTAGTTCCTCATCCTGCCTCTGTGTACACATGTATATGTTAAATAAATTTATATGCCTTTTATTTTCCTGTTATTCTATTTCTTAGATTAAAACTACCCGAACTTCAGAGGGAAAAGAGGACATTTAAGGAACATTTACATTTAGTGTAAATGAGTGAGTGAGCATGTCAGGACCAGCATCATTTCCTACAGAATCCTGCAGGCCCTTTAACTCTTCTTTCTGGTCCTGTCACATTCTTCGATTGCCATCCTTGAGGTGGCTTCCAAAGTGACCTTTCTAAAATTATAATCTGATCATGGAATGTTTCTGAACATAATCATTCTGTGATTTCCCATTGCCCATAGAATAAAACCCAAACCCGTCAGGACCTGGCCCATGCCAGGCAGGGCAG